AGCTCTACGATGAACAATTCCGATCCATTATCTATTATTCCAGCCGCACATCCAAACTTACATAAACTTGTATTGCCATGAGATCACCCATTAAGGCTAGGCGCTAGGCGCGAGGTTGCTTAACTTTAGTGATCGTACAGCAACCGGTGTTTCAACGTGATGTCGGCGTAAGCCTTCGTCTAATTAAAAGACGCAATTATGGCATATATTTCATCCAAAGGCCCCAATAAATTGCTTACCTATCTAATAGGAAACTGCTATATTGGATTCACATCAGCATATAACCACATCAATAAAGACTTCCTCTTCTCATCTATTAGAAACCGCCTTCTCAGCTCCGAATGTAAAAGAAACCGTATCGACCGACATAATCTTTCAAGTCTTCGGAGAGCCATGACACGGAAATATTTTAAACATTATCAGGATTACCACTAGCAGAAAATGAGAACTCCCGAATATCTAATAATTTCCTCGACTATCCTCTGCATATTTACAAACAGAAATGTGATGTCATTGACACTAAATATATAAGCATGCAATAAAATATCCCAATAGATCTTCTAATAGTAGACCAGGATACTGTTTTCCCTCATGAGGCCGATGAAATGATGTTGTGGGTGGGATCTATGGTGATAACATAGGTACCTCACATGTGTTTCTAGAAATATCACTCAAGATAAACAGAACGTATTATCTGGAATTCGAATGAAAGCAGTAGTATCACATACACTGAATCCCTGACAAAAATACAGCAATGGGAATTAGCAAATACTAAACCCTTCAGATAACTCAGCGTATATATCAGCTATAGCAAATTTTGTATAGGAGAAAATGGAATTAAACCCAGGGTAGGATGCGCCAGACGTAGTTTTGCCAAACACCGTAAATTATGGCAAAACGTCTACAGGAAAACTCAGGCCATGTTCTTATATAGCCTCGTCAAATCAAAACTTTCTCATGGATGTCAAGAATTGCGTCAAAGCCTTTCACAAATATGTCAAATCTCAGCTGTGCACAATCGATATATAAGATCAATGGTTAGAATACTGTAGCAACACCTTCACCACATCATTGTATAAAAACCTTTAGCGGAAACTTTTGCCACCTTAATTTTAAGAGTGAATGCTCACTCAAATGCAAAATATAAGTGATAAAAAATTTCCTAAAGAGAGCACATGAGAATTCACCCTCATGTGTACGTTTCATTAAAAACATTCATCCACACAAAGCAGACACTAGTTAACAGTGGTTTTCCTAACTACCTCATCGACCAACAGATTAGACTATTTCTTTCCAAAATAATTAATAACGATACTGAATATACAGACAAAAACAATAACATACATATCTTCTACGAAAGCCAAATGCACGTCATCTATTAGGAAGATGAATCTTCACTTAGAAATATAAAGAAATACACTACCCCAGTTGACTCGAACAAAAAATACTTATCTATTACAAATAACTTAAAACGGCTAACCTTACCATAAAAATATCAACACAACAGCAAAATGAAAACTACAAAGATCGAACAATTTCTACAAGTTCAAATGGTCTTAAAATATTGTGTTCCTGATAAAACCAAAACTCATAAATAATTACATCGGTCACACTATTACATGCATATCCAGACGACATACGTTACACCTATCTAACCGAAGCTCTATTAGAACTGATTTAAATACACACACAAAGCTAAAAGACTCCATAGTACTACATATATACTGGTAGAAAATACAAGCATAATGACCTCATCCACATCTAAAATAATATTAAAAATAATTCATTGAGCGAGTGAATTCTGTGAGCCTTGGTAAAGACCAAAATTCTTTGAACCGTATGTACTGCGCAATAAACCATATAAAAGAAATAGAATTAGATAAGGACATTCAAAAGCAGCAACAACTAAAATGGACAGCACATGAAACTACAAGAGAAAATACTTATTAATCAAGATTTTAGCATTCAAATATACTTCAAATAAAAGGTAAGGAAGGAAATATATATGAATACTGAAATGCGATAATGGAATTATAAAAATTGTTACGAAAAAAAATGTATAATATATTCGGACTATTGTCCTCATATTTGTCGCCATATTTATCACAATGTTTTGGCCGTTGTACGCTCCGGTCTTCATCAGGTGGTTGAAATGAAGAACTGAACTCTTTATTTCGCTCACTGAAGTTAGACTGTCTAGCTCCCCATGCCATGTTTAATGGATGTCAGTTATCAGTTATCATCTATTAATTCCTCTCTCCAAGTTCTCCACTGCCTTAACCAGGTATTGAATTCACACTCTTTTTGTACTGTCACTGGATCTAATTTACGCCTTTATCCACTGTGCCATGTGTCCTTGAGGACATATGTGTATGAATTTCTGGGTATTATAAATCTAATATCTTTAGCAACCATTTTTTTTTTTTTATCAGTGCTCATATCGCAGTTTTTGCTGCTATAATCTATGTTTTTACTAGAGCTCATATTTATTTATTTTTTTTTTGTTATTATCGCTTTTCTCTGGCACTCGTTATTACTGGTTCCCATAATGTATTCATTTGTATGTTTGGTCAGCTCAGGATATTTTTGTGGCCTAGCATATGTGTGGATTCCTTAAGTTTACGATTTTTCCAATATGCATATAGGTATATCTCCGATATACCTATATACACTAGGTTGAGTTGAAATACACATTGCCTGACAACTCACAAATCAGTATTTATTTATTTATTTATAAGCATTATTATTATTATTATTATTATTATTTCTGCTATGGACACACTACCTACCAAGTCTGCGGAAAGACCTAAGGCAGGTCGTGGTGTGTTGTTATGGCCACATTTCATGTTAATTTTTTTTTTTTTTTTTTTTTTTTCTCCGATGAAGTTGCTAGCGTTACATAGACAAAGTTCTCCTTAGTGTGTGTGCTGTACTTAATAAGACAATTTTCTGTATGTCTCTTAAGCTGGGGTTTCAGGGATTCTTTCAATGTGTTGTTTTGTTCCATTTTTTATAATTCCAAGTGCACCTATTACCACTGGTATTATTCTTGTTTTCAATTTCCACATTTTTCTATTTCAATTTCCAGGTCTTTGTATTTTGATAGTTTTTCAAATTCCTTGGTTGCTATGTTACAATCCGCTGGACAAGCCATATCAATTAGTAGGCAAGTTTTTTCTTTCTGGTTTTTTGACAATAATGTCCGGCCTATTTGCTTCAATTTTTCTGTCTGTGTGGATGGTATAATCCCCATAGAATGGTGACATCTTCTATTTCTGTAACCGGCGCTGGCCGATGTTCATACCAGTGTTTGCTTACATTTTCCAAAGTGTTTGCACATTGTCCAGTGTAAGTATTGCCCCCACTCTATCGTGACGATTTTTATATTCATTTGGGGCAAGTATAGAACATCCTGAGATTAGATGGTCTATTGTTTCTTGGTATTTGTCACAGAACCTGCATTTGGATCCACATTATTATGTATGATATTTTGCCTGAAAATTTCCTAGTGAAAAGACTCTGGTCTTGCGCTGCAAGAATAAAGCCTTCAGTTTCAGACTTTAATCCAGATGCTCGTAACCATCGATGAGTATTAACTTTATCAACATTGGGTTTATTTGCACGTTCTGGATATTGGCCATGCAGAGGTTTGTCTTGCCAGCGTTGTTTCATCTGTTCAAGGGCTTTATCCTTGGCTTTCTTTTCATATCTTTTGCTGCAATAGTTATTATTATTATTATTATTATTATTATTATTATTATTATTATTATTCCTTTCATTTGTGGTGTATACGTGTTTCTTGTTCTGATCCCGTCCAGCGACCTAAGGTCAGTAATGGCATCATGATATTTTCTACCTTAAAATTTTGAAAAAATAAAATCATACATACTTCTTTAAGCCAAGGCCTACCAGAAATCCTTATAATGAGTCCATTGAAATATTTTCCAGTCATAGGCATTTTAGATCTTTTTTCTCTTCTCTCGGCATAATGCATCTTTGTCTACTTTATATATATATATATATATATATATATATATATATGTGTGTGTGTGTGTGTGTGTGTGTGTGTGTGTGTGTGTGTGTGTGTGTGTGTGTGTGTGTGTGTGTGTGTGTGTAAGTGCAAGCGTAAGGATCGTACTGACTTATAGTTTATCATTATAATTATATTTATTATTATTCTTGGACCAAAAACTAACTTAAGTCTTCCAATGTTTTTCAACACTTAAGAGAGAGATTTAAGAAAATAAAAATATAAACATAGTGCTTGACAATGTTGAACAATATTTCAACATGAGTCGAATTTATTATTATTATTAATAGTAGTAGTAGTATTAGACTTTTATCTGAGAAAGAAGGAGGTTATTTTCTTAGAAAGTTATTTGTATATTAGATCTTGATGAAAGGTCGTAATATTTTGTAGAGAGTGGTTTCCTGGGATATGTCTTAAATGTGTATAAATAGTCTTTCTAATCAGTCTTATTGCCCCTAACATTTGTGGTCGAATGGCTGTGTATATTGACTACATTCCTGTAATTGTCATGTCCTTTATTTTGAAAGTGTTTTTTTTTTTTTTTTTTGTATCGGGTGAGATTGTCATAGTTTTTGACCCACATAAATTTGTTTGTAAAGGATTGTATCAGAAAGGAATTTTGGAAATGGAAACTAATAACAATATTTCGACATATGTCAAATATTTTTTAACATTGTCAATCATTGCCTTTTCTTTTTTTCTTTTCTTAAATCGTGCTCTTCTCTTAAGTATTATATCATTATTATTATTATTATTATCATTATTATTATTATCATTATTATTATTGATATCATTATTATTATTAGCGATATTATTGTATTTATTATTATTTAATAATTTTATGTACTTTTCTCACATATTCTTGCATATACATTTCTATTAACACTCTAGTAAGATAAAGGAAAAACTATTTTCAGCTACACACCTCATCGCTTATAATCAGCGTCATCAGAGTAAAAGAGAAAGACATCGGCATAGGCAATAAAATTTATTAATGAATACTGCAATCAAAGTGATTCTACTACTATGGGGATTAAGGTCTCCTGGTTTTGAAATTAAATCCATTCAAACAAACAACGATTTAATAATATGCACCGAAGAGTATCCCAAAGTTTCATCATTTAAAAAAGATCACCTATAAAAACATAATATATATATATATATATATATATATATATATATATATATATATATTTTGTCGTCAGATTTTATATAATGTAGGGAGACTATTTTCATATTTGAGTTTTTTTTTTGCTTCCGGATATGTGGAGTTATGTTGGAAAAATAATTGTCATTCCTCGCCATGAAAATCAATAAAGACACAGATATACTGAGTGAGAAGGAATGCGAGAAAAAGAAAAAAAAACTTCATTGAGGTTAGCAAACAACAAAAGAACAGGAATAAGGAATACACAATGTAACGATTGGCATTGCATATAAATTTGAAAAAGTTAAAGGCTGACTGGAAAGCAAAAAACCACAAGCGAAGAATGCGAATGAAGGAACTTTTAGCAAAGAACTTATGGTTACATCCATCCAATTCAACTGCAAAATAATGCGACCAAGGTGAAATTTGTAAATTCGAGATACCGAAGTGTAAAGCTTATAAGAATAATAACTATTGAAATATTTATAGAAAATGTAGAGAGAAGCTAAGTGACGGCGGGGAAAATTTGACCGAAGTATTGATAATAGGTCAAACCAGTAACATTGCAGATGCTTCTTTGGATTTTATCATGTATTTCTAAATATATAACAGGAGCACCGGACCAGATGTGGCAGCAATATTTAAAGCAATAACGAATAGACTTAAAGATATATATGAAGATATATTTTGGCAGGGAAAGGAAATCCATGCAGATACATATCCGTGCGTTCAAGCATACATACATACGCAGTTGTAATTCTATTTCGGTGTCGGGACCATAGTTTTTTTTTTTGTTATTGTTGTTGTTTTTGGGGTGTTTTTTTATGTGTGACGATGTTCATTTCAACAACGAGCTGGTAGGGCAGATCTTGACGCTTTCAAATTTAGATCCAATTTTAAAAAATAAACTAGTTTATCTGATAATCGTAAATGTGTGAAACCTAGTGTCACAAACTCATATCCATACAACTTTAGATTGATAGTTTTAGATTGATGTAAAGTGACAGAAGAAGTGGGAGGAGGATGCCTATAGCATGATCTAGATTAGAAATGGAAGGTATGGAGTCTGTTTAAATACATCTTAAGTTACATAGGTTCAAGTGTACTTACGTGATTTAATGGAGATGGATTTAAACAACACCCTATCCATACATTGGGAAAATAAATTGTAGTCATGGAACCTAAAATCTTTTTTTAATAATTTAATTAATTAATATTTGCTCTGATGTTACATTGAGCTCTATGGATGACATCCTTTTAGGAATTATCCTTACTGATTACCAAACCCTTCATTACCTTACTATATATATATATATATATATATATATATATATATATATATATATATATATATATATATATATATATATATCATTGAAAAATTAATTTCAGTTGAGCTCTCTCTGCGGAGGGGTGTGGGTTTGTAAACAGTGACTATTATGGCTGATATATTCAGTCGGGTCTCAATCGTAGCTGGAGGCAACCGTATGTCTAGCCACACTGAAGAGCTGCGAAACAGTCTCTCTGTGGATGACTATATATATATATATATATATATATATATATATATATATATATATATATCATTCGCAGACAGTATTGTTTTGCTGTATCACAGCTCCTCAGTGTGACTAGACATCCGAATGCCTCAAGCCAGGATCGAAAATCCAACCAATTTGGTGTCAGTCAGACTTCTACCACTGAGATATCTTCACTCGGCAAATGTCACGGGGATTGTTTTTACAAATGTAAAGAAATGCCAGTCAGCGAATGTGCTCCATTCATTTTACTGAAGAACTTTGCTTTAGCGCTGGTCGCTGTTGTTTATAGAATCAGCTTATCACTCAATATTGCTCAATTGAAATATATTTTCAAGATACAAAAAAACTTCAATTTTATCGCTTTCGAGCAAGCATCTCTGCATCAGCCACTTTTCCAGCAACATAACATAATGAAAGTTTCCTGTATCTATTTTCGTGGTATTTATTCTGGTGAACTTCCCTCTTTGTCACATGGATTTTGTGAATATAAGCACAGTTTTACTTGACAGTTTTATTGATTGCATGAGGACTTTATACTGTTTAAAAACCATTTATAATATTAGAAATTGAAACAAGTAGATACGCCAAAACTGCACGAAATGAACAAACATTTGTAAACTTTCTACATTCACTGCATCCGAAAGAAAAATCTAAACAAATATATAAACATGCAAAAAGATTACTCAATATTGAATAAAGAGAAAAAAAGCTGAAGGCAATATTCAAAAATTAAATCGAAATTTAGGAGAAATCATACTTATTTTTAATGATTCATATATTAGAAGTTATTAAGCACTTAAACCCACGGGCGTGCACGGGTAGAGAAACAAACCCACATATACGTGTACTTTCGCCGAATTATTCCCAATGAATTTTGGTAAGTGTTAAGCAATGAAACGAGAAAACTTACAGAAGGTTGATTTTGATCTTCATCCAGCTCTTCGGATGGTCAAAAAGTTGTTTGTTAGAATATGTTAGTTTGTATGTTTTTTGTTTTTTTTATGTAAACAATGGTTTTTATGTAAACGATCTGGTCGGCTTTTCAATGTTAATGAATACGCTCTGCTTGCCATCGGAGAGAGTAGACCGAATATTTCAACGGAAGACATTGCGAAACATTCTGCAAAATGCAAAAGGCGTAATTTCCGACACGACAATGCAGTACTCCATGTTATAAAACAGACCTTTGAAAAGCTTGAAGAGTCGAAATAGCGCATCCAGCCCTTTTTGTTTTTTTTTTTTTAATTTAGTAATCGGACACTTTTATGGTTATCAAAGGGAATCTTATATTTCTTATATCCAGACGAAATGTATATATATATATATATATATATATATATATATATATATATGAAAAAAAATACAGAAAAAACAAAAATCTGAATATATGCATAATGTTAAAATAAAGTCGACGTCAAACGTTTCGGTCTATTTAAGACCATTTGCATGCTCATTTCATTTCCATAATTAACATTTGTGTTAAAAATTTTACACAAAGACGTTGGACATAAAATGTTAATTATTTGTCACAAATGAAAATGTCCGTGATGATATTCTTAAATAGACCGAAACGTCCGACGTCGACTTTATTTTAACATTATGCATATTCAGATTTTTGTTTTTCTGTATTTTTCTTTCATACTGTCGGATTTATATCCATATATTTGCTTATATATATATATATATATATGAATTATAACTCTGTACATATATAAAAAGGCCAGTTGTCTGTATGTGTGTTTGTTTTTGTGTCCGGCTAAAAATAAAAACCTACAATAAATACCGATGAAATAAATATATGAAACAACCCACAACCCCTCCAAAAATTATCAGATGATTTGTATTTGTATTTACGTAAATATTTTAAAATTAAAAATAGGTAATAATTGCATTCGAAAAATGAGTAGTAAAACAACAAAGTAAATGTAAAAGAACAAATTTAGATTTATTAATATTTTATGGAAAATATTTTTTTATTAATTCTTTTAAAATAAATTTCGTTGTCGTTTTGCTTTGTAACTAATATAAACAGTAATTAATTTTAAATTAGATTTTATTAAAGCCAACATCTATAGCAAGCCTGTATTTTCGACAATTAATTTAAAGAAAGCATAGTTAAATAAAACAGTTATTCAACACGACGAATATTGATCATAACTCATGTCTATCTCTCTTAACTAAGGTTTTTCTTTCAAATAGAAATATAACTTGAAATTTAAACATAATTGGTTTTCAAAACTAAATTCTCAATGTATCTTACTTCTACACCCTTTCAAAATTACGGTAGTAATGTTTGCTTCTTTCACTTTCTTTAAAAAGAAAATAATCACTAATGTAAGCTTTATTTACTTACATATGCTTAAATTCCCCTCCAAAATAAAGAATAAAAGACTTACGCTAATGGAGCGGCGATGTCGACAGGGGAGCCCTAAGTATATTTTTTTTTGCTCAATAGCACAAATGTTGCACATGGCCTAAAAAAGGATGGGAGGTGCTCTTCATATTTCTTAAACTAAAACCTTTGCTAGCCACAATCACTGAAACGAACATGTTACAATTATCCTTGCACTAAAACTCCACATTTTTCTATACATTCCATACTGCATACACTATAATACCGCGTTGAAACTAGTCTCCATATGTACAATTTGTCTGGTTGGGGGAATACACTTTTAAAATTTTAAACCCGATGAATATTTACGCTGAAAAACAAATATATATTCAGAAATAAAGCAAAATAGTGTTCGTAATTGAAACCTCCACAATTCTTAAATGCGACAGAAACATCCGAAAATAATGGATGAAAATAATGCGATCTTGAGAGAGTACGATCAAGCATTTAACGAATCACACTCTCAAACACGCACTCATCCAAATAACAACAAAAATGGAAAATCACACCCGAAAATCAAAAGATGAAAATAGGGGCTAATGCGCAAGCATCCCCTGTCTAAGTAACTTGGCTGAAAAATAAAATAAAAAACAAGCCTAATTTAGCCTATTTTGGGCATTGTTGCCAATGATCAAGTCAGAATTTCCAATAATCTAATTCCTAACCGGCACCAAATCTCTCTCCAAGTTAGCACAATTACTCGGAACAGACGCAGAAGACTCACCCACATTTCGCCAAATTCTAATGAAGGGAGTCGTTTTCTTTTCGACCTTATATTGGTTTTAAGCTGATGCCTAAAGAACACGATTAGCTGGGAAGAGTTAAACTTTTCCGCGCCATAGAATTTATCGTCCATATCATGACTTGCATTACGCCTAGTAAACAAAAGT